ACTGATGCAACATAATTTATACTTGTGCCACTAATCTTTCTTCCACGGTAGACTTCACTAATTGACTATGGCTTTTTTTTCTTTAAGAAAGCAAAAAAATGGCCTCACCACCTTCTCAAGACTGCCCTCGCCTAGACAGTCATGGGCAATCAATCATTTGGAGTTGGCACGCAAACAGAAACATACTTTCGCTTCCTCACTCAGGAGGCTCTTAACAGGCTGTCAAGCAGGATTATTAACATTGAACTTGGTGTCCAAAAGTAAACTGGTAGTTAATTTTGCTTCTGGATGAGTGGCAAATTCAGCAGTATTCATCCATGGACAAACTCACTGGCATAGGAAAAGAAAGGGTAATAGGAGAAGTGGTACTCTTGACAGATGAGGGTGGAGGGGAGGTCTTGCTTCCTCCATTGGCTTTGGTTCCCAAGAGGCTATAGAAATAAGAACGCTTTGAAGGCAGGGGGAAAGCACTGCTCTGATTTACTTTCTCATACACTCTTTTGGGTCAACAGCTGTGATGGAAATTGGGAGCTCACCAGGAAAAATCATCTCTGACATTGATGGGCTTCCTGTGAACGCTCATTAAATATTCCAAACACCCTCTAAGAATTTTTGGATCCTTACCTATTTAAAAAGAGGCCTGTAGTTTTTTTTTGTTTTTGTTTTTTGGTACGGAGATCAAAGAGGCCTATTGTCTTAGTAAGTTATTTTTAAATGATAATCTAGTAGGTTACCTCTTCCTTCCTTCTTTCCAAGGAGGAGAATAAATGCACCTCATAAGGTGGCTGTGAGGATCAAATGAGACATTGCATGCTATTGGCTAGCATGGTGCTTGCACGGTACCTCGCAGTTAGTGTGAAGTAGTGTTATTACTACTATTATTGGTGTTCTATTGAAATTGCAACTAGATTCTTCACTATTACTTACATTTATATTCAAAAGTAGATACTCAAAAAATATTAATAGGGCACACTGTCTCGGTGGCTTCTCATTCCTAAGGGGCTCTCAATTCCAATACAGATGGCATCAAAAGCTACAAATACAACCTTTGTCTCTCAAATGAAGGTGAGAATTGTGAGAAATAGAATCACAGTCCATTCTACAATAAAAGAGGCAGAGAAAAGTGTGATTGGTGAGAAAATGCCTGTACCAACAAATGAAATAAATTCTAAACTTATGGACCTATGAGTGACTATGGTTAAGCAAATATCTTATCAAGCCATTAATACTAATAAAGAAGCAGCTCATTTCTAATTAAGTTACTAGGAAATCTTCTTAAACATAGGTTCTCAGGTAAGCATCAACTTGAACAGTTATCTAATATTAGTGGTTTCAAGTTAGGCACATTAAATTTCAAATAAACATTCTTATTTTCTACATTCAAGTTATCATTAGTAATAAATGGTTTCTCTAGTAACTTTCCAACATGAGAAGGGAAGATAGCACTAAAACTTAAACCATTTCTCCTACCTCACAGTTTTACAAAACCATTATCTACAAAACAGATCATTCATAATCCCAGCACTTGGGAGGCTGAGACAGGAGGATCACCATGAGTTTGAGGCCAGCCTGGGCTACATAATGAGTTCAAGGCCAGCTTGAACTACATAGCAAGGCTCTGTCTCAAAAAAAATTAAAAAAAAAATTTTTTTTAATTTTAGAAACCAAACCATTCAATGCTAATTACCTATAAGCCACTCATCACAGGAAATATAAATATGTCATGTTGCCTTGCTTCCTCTAGGATCAGAACAGAAATGATCCCCGTAACCGATTACCTTAGAACCTGTCAGTCTGATGCACACTCCTCATTGTCCAGTAGAACAAGACAGTAAAGATCAGCTTATGGTTGTAATAAATGGTGTAACTGAACCTTCATTGCATATATATTCTTGTTTACTAAATCAAGTAAAGGTGGCAATATGTTTTCCACTTTTCTTAACTAGTGACGAATCTTGACTGTTCAGGTGACTTCAGTCCCCAAGCTCCTGATTTGTGCACAGGTGAATGTGAGTGCACCCCAGAGCCCTCAATGGAGGGATTCCCAACATCACTGGGTTCGTACTCAAGTTGACTGTACTGTTTCTCCTTGTATGATGTTGCAATATGTCAATCAAATTTATCAACCAGCCACAGTGTTGATTTTTAAGGTTGTTTTAGACTAAAGAGAAGACAAACGCTGATAACGTAATCCTCTGATTTTTTGCAAGGAATTTGGACTAATAGCTTTGGGTATGATAGCTTCCATAAATGATTTGTGATGTGTCTTGCTGGGCCTAATAAAATCTTTATATGTTCTCCTAAGCTACCTTATAAACACACAAGAACACAACACAGCACAATCACAGGATTTGTCAACAGTAAAGGAATAAAAAGAGGTTATCAATGAAATTAAAAGCAGCAAACATTACATAATATGCCTCATAAGCATTTAAGTATGTAGTCATTAGCAGACGAAGAGACAATGAAGATAGCAAATGTGACTCAGCGCTGCACTGTGAGAAGTGTATAGTCACCGCAGGACACAGGTACTTAGGGTGTGGGTCTCCATCAGTTCTGAAGCCCTCTTTCGTGCGTGCCTTTAGTTTTGCTGCCTCCATATCCTGAATCTATTTAAAACATTTACCATGGTCATTGTCACTTTGGAGAAGAGCCCGAATTAACATGGTGCCAGATCCACTGAATGAAGACACACTAATACTTCTACGAACCTGCCTTTCCATTGGATGGCACTTGGCTGTAGCATTTACCATATTTTTTTAATCACATCTAAAGACACTCATGAAAGAGGACTTACAAAACTGCTTCAGAAAACGGCCAGAATTGCTATCATGAAATCAACCAACAACAAATGCTGGCGGGGCTGTGGGGAAAGAGGAACACTGCTCCACTGCCGGTGAGAGTGTAGATTGGTGCAACCACTGTGGAAATCAGTATGGAGATACCTCAAAGAACTAGGACTGGAAGTCCCATTTGACC